GGGCTTCAAATCCAGGTTACAAATATGTACCACGTCATATCCTGCCTGGTGCGATTTGTTCTTTGTGGCTCGATCTTCGCGATGTCAAGCTACGAAGCGCTGCCTCCAACCCCCACGGGTCCAGCTCACTCCCAACGACCAAGGGCTGGTGCCAACTCCCACGCATTCCGGCGTCGCGCTACGTATGCAAAGTCTTCGCGTTCGTTTTGGGTCATTTAATTTCAACGCCAAAAACACACTGGATTGATTGATGGATTGATGACTACAGCTAAGAGGAGTGCGCTGGGAAGCTCCGTGGACGAGAAGGCCCTGCGAGACGACGCGCATCGAGACGCCCAGTACACACTATAACACCACCGGCGCCAGTACACGAAGCGCTTCAAGTGCGACGAGAAGAAAGAAATGCCAACGCAGTCACGGGAGCAATTCAATTATTACTGTAGAACATCTTTCGTATTTTGATGGGTTGGAAAACGTCGTCCCACTCTATGTACCCTCCACAAAACGTGCTCTACATCCTTCCCCAAGACCCGCCCGCTACGGCGTTCGCATCCCCGCAATGCGGGAATGCCAATAGTGCCCTCAAACCTTTCAAAATCCCAGGAAAACCACATCGGACGACGTTCTACTGTCCTGAAAGCGACGCCTTTATTGCATTTCCCCCAAATGCGTCAAGTGCGTTGGAAATGCAGTGCTTTCTTGAACTTGCAAGGGCGGCGATGGGCCATTTTGCATCACGCACAACACGAGTCGCATGTGGATGCTCCTGGGTCTGGCCAGCGGCGTCGCCGCGGCGTCGTGCCCGTACACGTCGTTGGGTGGCAGCACTCGCGTCCTCGCAGGTGACGTCTACTGTGGCGGCGCCCAGTGGTGCATCCTATCGCCGTTAAACTGCTCGATCCTCGGCTCCTACGTGCCATTGAAAGACACGTTTTGGAGCGTCGATGCGATCGGCGACATGACCAACTATGCCAACCCTCAGTTGTACACTACGACACGAACAACCTCGCATCTTCAGCACTTCAAATAGGACTCTCGAGAGCGAGAATCGCCCCGACCTCTCGCAAATGAGGCTGCCGGCGTCGCTACAAAAGCTGTCGGTGCCATCTTCACTGGGACCATCGACTGCATTTGAATGCATCCTAGGACGTTTCGATACATTCGGTGGTTGCCACTCGACCGGATCATGGCGTCGTGGCCGGCGCTGACCACCTTGTGTGACGCTTCAACCAAGTCTGCTTCGTGCCATGACCCTACTTCATGAATGTAGGACAATGACCAACTGCTCTCTCGATGCCTTGCCGAGATCGTTCACGTACCCCGCCGGTCTCAAATCTCTGTACGCGACTGCCTGCATGGCCGCACCAACTGATGGACTCAATATAGGAACCTGGCCAAGAATCAACTGACGCAGATACCGCCCAACTTGCCCGCCAGCATTCGCAAATTGTACGCTGGCAGATTGCGTCATGGGCTCGAATCCTTACGGAGTAGGGTCGTGTCTCAGAATGCCCTATCCAGCCTCCAAGGATTGCCGCAAACAGTGATCAATCTGTCTCTCCGATGCACTTGTGTACAATCGATAACTTTTTTTCACGGCGCCATAGAGACGCGTCCAACAACCAACTTGGCAACGTTTCCAACATGAACTGGACGTCCATGACCGCCGTGTAAGCTTTCTCTCATGATGCATCCTGCCCTGGAAATTGTGTTTTAGGGATCTCTCGCGCAACAACTGGCTAAGGACATTTAGCGACGTCCAGCTTTCGCGCCGTCTCATCTCCTTGTGCGCTTTTCGATATGTACGGTGGCGACTAACACTTGGTTGGTGTAGCAACATTGCCAACTCTTCAAATTACCTCGACATTATCATTGATCAGCAGACGTTCAACGCGCTGGACGCACTCAAACCGTGGAGTGCACTCAAGGATGCGACCGGCAACGATCTCACGGACCCTGACGGCAGCATTATCTATACCGGCTTTCTCGTCACAAAGTCCATCCGAACAAGCAGCGCCACCTGCAAGGCCAGACGTGGAAAGACGCATCTGCTGTGGGCGATGACGTCCAAGCACTACGTGGAAGTGTGCGTCGCCGAGCCGCCAGAAGCTTCCTCCGGCGCCAGTACGTTGCACGATACTAGTGTGTCGCCCGCATCTAGCTAGTAACGCAACCCTACGCCTATAGGTACGGGTCTTATCGTCGGGCTCGTCATCGGTGGGCTCGTCATCCTCGCACTTGTCGTGCTCTTCGTCAAGCGCCGCCAGTCGAAGAAGACAACTACGACCACCAACCCGTTCGCACCGCCGACGCCCCAAAAGTCCTCGCCGCAAGCCCCGTACGAGTACGTGCCACCAAAGGATGACGATGACCACGACTTGTACCCGCTTCATCCGTCGCCGTTCGGATCGCCAGCGACCAAACCGACACCGAGTTTCGACGCAACAACCGACATCAACCGCTCCGACGACGCGCCCTCGCATCCGTCTCGTGATCCGTTGCTCAGCCAGGTAAACACGTCGTTGACGCATGGATCGAGCAGCCACGACGCGTCGAGCATTGACCAAATTGCAGCGACGTCATCCAACGCTGAGGACGACGTCTACTTGGATGTCCGGCCGCTCCGGAACCACAAGCTCGAGCTCCTGGACCTTGTCGTTACCTCCGAGACGCCGTGGGCCTCGGGCGCATTCGGCGAAATCGGGCTCGGCACGTACGCCAACGAGAAGGTTGCAATCAAGCGCCTCAAGAACCCGTCGCCAGCTAGTGTGTTGCACTTTATCGAAGAGATCAAGCTGCACTCGCGGTACGGTTCTCTTGTCTGGCGTGGTGACTGATATATGCTCGCTTTCTTTGATTTGCAGCATCGAGAGCGATTTTATCGTCAAGTTTGTTGGCGCGAGCTGGCGCCGTCCGATCGAAATGGAGTGCGTCGTCGAGTACATGGACCTCGGCGATCTGCGCAACTACCTCGCGACCAACTCGCCGGCGCAGTTTGGCTGGGACCAAAAGCTTAAGTCCATTGTGAGCATCGTCCGCGGACTCGTCTACCTCCACACGTTCAGCCCGCCGATCATCCACCGCGACCTCAAGT